TAGCATGCGGAATGTGTGACAGAATAAAGTGAGAACGTTACCAAAATGCCAGTGGAAAGGCAAAGAGCAAAACCACTCGTTTTTCCCCATTACATGTATTTCTCACTCTTGCTTTGCTCATTGTCTTTACCAACTGACACTTAGATAAACTATTCCCTCCATTATTCATCACACACTCATATACAGTAACACTGTGTGTGTGTGTGTTAACTTATCTCATTAATTATCCTCTATACTCCAGACAGTATACAAGTCATGGCTCCTCCTATACATACAAGCTGATCCTGTCTGTCTCTTTCCAACAGTTCTACACTCCAGTAAACCTACTAAGAGAAAGAGAAATAGCTAGAAATAGGTTTGTAAAAGGAAAACTGACAAAGAGAGAGAAAGAAAGAGAGCTGAGAGACAGAAAAACAGAGAAGCACAATGGCTGCCTCGAGGCTTCTTTCCTCTGTCACCGCCTGACGTCAGAGTGTTACTATGCAACAAGGAGTTTGATTGCACCACATCACGTGATAATAACCGCCAAATGTGCCGGGGAAAAGGAGTCCGTCTGTTTGAATGAGTACATGCTCCATGAATAATTAATGAACTATTAATAACTGTCTGTATGATCATGAACGCATGCATGCATATTTAATGAGCTCAATAAATAACCGTCTGTCTGTTTGAATGAATGCATGCATAATTAATGAGTCCAATAACTATTAATAACTGTCTGTTTGAACAAATGCATGCATAATTAATGACCTCAATAACTATTAATAACTTGACCAGTGATGAACTTAATAACTGTCTGTCTGTTTGAATATAAGTGCATGCAAATTAATGAGCTAATAACTGTTTGTTTGAATGAGTGCAGTTTCCCGCCAAATCTTATGCGCATGTTCATTAAGTATCAATTTTTAACCCTTTAGTCACTGGATTTTTAGTAGCCTCTTTGGTCTGGTCTATCCGAATCTCCCCTCGGATCTCCCCCTCTTTCTCCTGCTGTTCTTGATGCTGCTGTCTGTTCCTCCTACAGGGAAATGGCTTCACTAGAGCAGTCCAGAACTAAACTAGCCGGTGAGACCACAGACTAAGAGAAGAGACCTTGCATTAAGCAAAGAACACTTCAACCATCCAACATTTTATTACATGTACATGTACATTTACCTGTGTACATGTACGTGTACATCAATTGCAGCCTAACCCCCTCCCTCCCTCTCTCTATTTCTGTTAGGTGAGGCTGATCTGGTTCAGAAGAAGGCCTTCACTAAGTGGATCAACTCGCACCTCGAGAAGGTGACACATTTCTCTTTCCTGTAGCACCTCCTCCTCTACATGTACATTACGTGTCTTTAGTGATCACCTAGCAACCAGTAACCTTCTAATTCCCTCTCACCCCCTCTTGCTCTAGCTACCACAAAATGTTCATTTTTATTAAGCAACAGCTCACATTGTAATCCTCTTACATTCCTTACTCTATAAAATAACTTCCTCATAAAGGACACCTCTGTATTTTATAACAGAGACACTGTCAAGTGTCCATTATATAGCAAGGCTAGTCTGTGTTGCATGTTATGTGTACATTCAGCAGTAATTGGTCTGTGGTTTGCAGGTGCAGTACATTCCTTCCTGTATATCTATTAGTAACTCACATTACTGTGGTTTCATTTGCTGTACAACTGGCTGCTGCCCTGTTTGTTTCTTATAATTAGTGGGTGGGGTTTGTGTTTTAGGTGGGACTAGAAGTACGAGATCTTTTTGAAGACCTCAGAGATGGTACGAAACTATTGACCCTCTTGGAACTGTTTACCGGAAAGAAAATGGTTAGGAATGGGAGGAGCTATAATTAACATAATTAATTACTATTAATTATTATTATTACCTTAGCATAGAGAGAAAGGGAAGATGAGGGTCCATCACATTCAAAATGTGAAGACTGCCATAAATTACCTCACAGACGTGAGAAAAGTAAGACATTACATCAGTAGTGATTAATACTAATTAATAATAATTAATATTCATTAATACTTATCAATACTGATTGATTGACTCCGCCCCTTTCTCCAGATAAGGATTGTTGGTATTCCTGTTGAAGAGATTGTGGACGGTAACAGGAAATTGACACTGGGTCTGGTGTGGATGCTAATATTAAACTTTCAGGTTCCTGTATACACATACACATTACAGCAATCTTATGTTATTAAGAATTAGTAGTTATTAATAGTTATTAATTAATAGTTATCTGGAGCTCTTCCTTCCAAACCTGGTCAAAGACCAAAGTCTCCAATGGAAGTCTCAGCCAAAGAAATAAAAAAAGAATTACTGCAGTGGGCCAAAGCTGCTACAGAAGGGTAATTAATAATAATAATAATAATGATGATGATAATTTTATCTCTTCTCCAGCTATGATGAGGTCAGTGTCACTAATTTCCACAGAAGTTGGAACGATGGTTTGGCATTTTGTGCCATCATAAACAGGCACAGACCAGATCTCCTGGACTATGATGATTGTCTTGGTAATCCTCCTTTGGATAATTTTGAAGCTGCTTTCTCAACGGCAGAGAAAGAGCTCGGAGTCATTAGGTTTCTAGACCCAGAGGGTAAGGAGAGAGAGGCGGAGAGGAGAGAGAGAGGGAGGAGGGAGGGATTGTGTGTGGTTTATTCCACCTGGCCTGGTGT